AATAATAAAAAATTTAAAAAATGGATAGAGCATTTTGAAGAACTCCTCAACCGGCCAGCCCCACAACACACACTCAACATAGAGCCAGTGGAACAAGATCAAGAAATAGATAGCAGCACACCCACAAAACGAGATATGCAGAGCAATTAAACAACTAAAGAAAGGCAAGGCGGCAGGTCCAGACAGAATACCGGCAGGAGCACTGACAGCAGATATTACGATTAGTACTGAAATGCTACACAAACTATTCAAGAAATTTTGGAAGGAAGAATAGATACCGATTGAATGGAAAGAAGGACACATCATTAAGCTCCCGAAGAAAGGAGACCTTAGTTTTTGCTCTAACTATAGAGGAATAACCCTGCTGTCCATCCCAAGCAAAGTATTCAATGGAATGCTGCTAAATAGAATTAGGGAGGCAATAGATACCAATCTTAGGGACCATTAAGCAGGTTTCAGGAAAGACAGACCCTGCACAGACCAGATTGCCACATTGAGAATTATTGTGAACAATTCCCGGAGTGGAACTCGCCACTATACATCAGCTTTATTGACTATGAGAAGGCTTTTGACAGTGTAGACAGACAGACTCTGTGGAAGCTGCTCAGACACTACCGGGTACCACAAAAATTGACAGACATAATCAAGGCTTCTTACGAAGGACCGTCGTGCAGAATTTCATTGCCAACAACAACTGCTGCTTTTGGGATACAGACCGGTGTCAGGCAGGGGGGTCTGCTCTCGCCTTTCTTATTCCTGCTGAACATCGATTGGATAATGAAAATGAAAATGAGCAGAAGAGAAATGGTATCCAGTGGACACTATGGAAACAGCTTGCTGATCTGGATTTTGCGGATGATCTGGCCCTAATATCACACACGAAGCAAAAGATGCAAGAGAAAACCAATTATGTAGAACAGTACTCTGCTTGCATCATGTAGCACAGTACTCTGCTTGCATCATGTAGCACAGTACTCTGCTTGCATCATGTAGCACAGTACTCTGCTTGCATCGGCCTGAACATCCATAGAGGAAAAAGCAAAGTCCTTAAAATAAATACACCAAGCAACACGCCCATAACACTGGAAGGAGCAAACCATAAGGAGGTGGATAGCTTTACATACCTCGGCAGCATCATTGAAATACAAGGAGGGACAGACGCCGACATAAGAATGAGAGTTGGTAAGGCAAGAGCAGCATTTAACCAGCAAAAAAAGGTCTGGAGGTGCAGCAACTTGACTCTCCAGACCAAGGTCAGGATATTCAACACCACAGTGAAACCTGTCTTGCTATATGGAGCAAAAAAACAACAACTCATGTCTCCGAATGATTCTACGAATCCGCTGGCCCAACGTCATCACCAACGAGGATTTCTGGAGGCGCACACAACAAGAACCAGTGGAAGAGTTAGTCTGGCAGCGCATATGGAGATGGATTGTTCACACCCTCAGAAAGCCCGCATCAAGTATCACAAGCCCTCACTTGGAACCCCCACGGGGTCGACCCAAAATGACTTGGAGAAGGGAACTCGAGGCAGACACCAGAAGGAGTGGGCACAACTGGGGACAGCTGGAGAGACTTGCCCAAGACCCGGATGCCTAAGAGAGCCTTTGTTTGTGGCCTATGCCCCAGAAAGGATGACAGGCGATGATAATGATGATGAGCATATGTAGGCCCATTTAGGGCCCATTACACCGTGACGTGCAGTTAATGTGTATTCAATTATTATTCATGTTGGATCATGGAGATATAATTGTTTTCTCTATTTTTCTCAAATCCCCTATATTATATTGAGATATTTGTAGCTAGGGGTCGTTCGTAAATTATGTCCCGCTCAGGGGTGGGGTGGGGTCTATATTGTTTTTGCATTTTGTGACAGGGGGAGGGGGGTAAAAAAAAAAGTGACATCACAAAAAAAATCTAATTTTGAAAAATCTTTATTCAATTAATTTTAAAAACATTAATTTAAGTTCGAATTTGCCTCGGGTAATCACTGGTAATCTACCTGTGAACTTAGCATTAAAAGCGTCTTCGAAATTTCTATTAAATTTTTATTTAATATGAATAGGCATTTTTTAAAAAGAATAATTTAATGTGCCGCCACTTGCGAACAAAAAGCATATAGAAATATTCAATATTTTTCAGTGTTGATTAAAATCACCCTTTAACAACATTTTTCAATGTAGTGTGGGGTGTTGTTGTTGATGGGTGTCAGACGTCTCAGTCTGATCCCTATATAATAATGTGTTAGTGCGTATTCTTTATGGTCTTTTATGGCATGTCCTAAGTACGTAATTCTCAATTCTTTAATTTTGTACTGCTCGCAAATACACGGACGATTAACAACCCTTCCGGTCGTCTACCTGAACTGCTCCCACATAATATATTTAATATTCTTTTGGTACAATTTTATAATATTTTTGGGATACGACCAGGTTCGGTTTAACCATTAGGCAAACATAGGGCGGCAAATTTTTAGGGGGCGGCACTATTAATTAAATAATTAGTTGCCGTGGGCGTCCGGGGGGGGGTGCAGTGCGACAGGTTCGTCTAGGGTGCCAAATACTCTGGCGCCGGCCCTGGATACGATCTAAGCAAAGACCTACAAGCCATATAAACACTTCACAGCCATGAAGTTTAAAATGAGTCTTCCACACGTACACTGTTTATTAGTCAAGGGTGTTAAAATAAGACTCCAAGCTTCGCAGTAAAATTACTCTGGTCTGGTCAACAGCGATTTTGCCATAATGAAAGTAAATCAACTGACTTTTATTTTTATGCATTTTAACACTCTGATTTTTTAACAAAATGAAGTCAGAATCTGCCAAGCACGGCTAGATTTTAAGTTACGCAGCATTCAAGAAATACATATAGTTTTAATATGTACAGATTATAAACTGGAAAGTGACATTTGTCTCTAGCTGAAACCGGGTTGCGCATGCGTTCCTGATCATGGGGAGACTTCACAGAATCCAGCAAGGCGAGCTTGAAAGCTGTGTTGTTGCAGAACAGTCACGAACAAGCGTATGCTCATTGAACTCACGCTGTAGTCCTCAAAGAGGCGCATGATCGAAACTCGCATGAAAGGGATAACTGCTCAGAGCCCATATGGAACATCTGTGCCGACCTGAATGTGGTAGCAATTCTTCTTGGACTACAGCATTGGGTACACAAGACATGTGTGTTTCTTTTCTTGTGGAACAGTCGTGATGATAGCAAAACTTACAAAGTCAAACAGTGGCCTCCTAGATCTGAGCACATTGATTGACGGCATAGCAGAAAATAGCATAGACACAAGCGCTATTAAAGTACTCAATCAATCAATGATTACTACTGGTTTATGCAACCTCACAAGCACAAGAACAAGTGCCCGAAGCGCTTTTTTTTATAGTTAAGCTGGAGCCGAAATTTTGAACTGTGCGCTTTCATCTGAGCAACAAACAGATATTATTATTTATTTATATTCGATTGGAAAACACTGTCATAATTTTTTTTCTTAGACTTTATTGTATTTTTAAATAGATTTCGGCATGGTTTTAAATTATTATAAAATTTTTAGTGAGTTTTATTTTTTTTAATTGAAGATAACATACATCAAATATTATATTGTAAATAGGTTAAAACTTCATTCCAATGCAAATTTATAAACGAATAACATTTCGTTTTGTTGATATAAAATAAATAATCTTAGTATAGCACACAGTTATAAGCAAATACTAGTTCTGTCATATGTTTGTATTATACACAATTTAATTTTCACACGAAGCTCCATAACTTAAAGGGGCCGTCCTTAAGTACGTCACGCTCCGGATGTGTGTGTGTGTGTGTGTGGGGGGGGGGCTTGTGTGCCATCACACACTATACATCATATAAATAAAAATAATATCAACCTTAAATTGACAAGTGATGCTAAACCTGTTTGTGATAGATGTATTCTGCCGCCGTTCTCACACATGCAGGTATCTTCACCAGCTTACCCATTTTTTAATGCAGTCTCAGCTTCGCTTGGAGGGATATGTTGTGAGAGTATGAGACAGCCGCTTGCCCAAAAGAATATTCTATGATGAGTTCGAGCATGGAAGGCGGTTTGCTGGTGGGCAGAAGAAACGCTTCTAAAGAAAAGCTAAAAGCATCACTGAACGCGTTCGCTATAAACCCGGACGCATGGGAAAAATCGGCAAAGCATCATTGCGTTCCTCTTTACACAGATACTCCATACAACAAGAAGCCAACAGAACAGCGACGGCAGGGCACAAAAGACAACCCAGAAAATCTCGGGTTGTCTCTACACATGGAGAGGTCCCACCAATCCCCTGAACGTATTGCACAAGAACATTTCGTGCCAGAAACGGTCTCATCAGCCATCTGCGCACCAGGTTCAGAACTAGAGCTAATACGATGTTTAAAATGGTCATGGTCGATTTTAACTGACGAACATTATATTTATTATTCTGACAGAATATTTTACTTTTTCTAAAATTAATTAGTTTGAAAGTAAGTTTGTTTTAGGTTAAATTTTAATTAGCTGTTAATTTTCAAACATTTTTTTAAGGGAGGGGCTGTCTGAAATTTGTGATCGATTTGTGACAGCCTTTGAGGAAGGAGGTTTAAAAAAAAATAGTTTGACGTTATTAATGGACGGTCCCAAATACTGACGTACTACACAAAATGTAACTTCAGATTTGGGATTAGCACACTCGGTTGAGTAAGAGCTCTATGAAAGATGCCCAGCAGCAGACAAAAAAATATTTATTTGTGTCCAGTGGGGCGAACTTCTAAAACTGCGCCCTCCCCGTTTCCATTCACATTATATATTTATGATATTTATAAACTCATCAGACCCACCCGGGGCGGCCGCTGCCGGTCATCATCTTGATCCAGTAGTCCCATGTACATGAGCCCTTAAACCTAAAATAACAATTCAAACGCGCATATTTATTTTTAAGTATTTACTATTTCTAATGATGACTATATATTTTTTCCGAAACGATATTCTAGTTCTAGAAACAGGAAACGGAAGTTGCATCAGGAGAGCTAGTTATATAAAAATAACGATAAAACGGTACGAAGGTCAATCAGTCAATCCAAATCCGAACTAAAGGATAAAAACAAAAATGCCACGAAGAGGTAGATCACAAGGAGTTAGCAGGTGAGGAATGTTGAGGAATATCGTTAAATATCCCATGGCGTAAAATAAATGCAAAATATTCAGTTTTACTCGGTCAATTTATTCTGTCGCCTCATCAATGATCAATTCAATCATTTCAGGCGTGCCTCGGTCTCCTCATCTGAGGCAGAGTATCTCAATCATTTTGGTACTTTTGTGGTTTTAAGAATGTCGTGTAAGTGTAAGCATATGCCTAAAAATTAATTAGGCCTGTAGCATATACCTCTAAAGGAAATATTAACTTAACATACCGAAAAGGCATATTAGTAGGATTTAATAAACAACATGAGATATTTCAGATACTGAAGTGGCTATTATTATTCGGACCTGGGTCCGAGAAGTTAGATGTTGGGATTAAAATTAAAAAAAAAAAAATGTCAGGTTGTAAGATAAAATTTGGTATCAAATGAAAGATAATTGAATGGACTATATGTTTGTAAACTTAATTCTTCAGTTTAACTAAAACTAAAATAAACTACCACAAATCATAACAAATGACATCCGAATAGCATTGAGTCTAAAGGGACCTGGGTCCAAATAGCGGCAATGCGTTTCCGGTTCCATCTTGACTAAATGCTATTCGGATATCATTTGTGGTAGTCCATTTGGCTATTGTTGGGACTAACACCCATGACGTCATTTGTGTGTTTATTTAAAATTTGTGTTGGAGTCATTACCCTTTGTTCATTTTATTATTGGCGGAAGTGCTGATGACATGTTTCTATTTAAAATTTTAATTAGTTGATTATTTATAATTTTAAATTATCATTGGTTGGCTAATTATCATATTTTATTTGCGCCACCTTCTTTTTAATATGTTGGCCTAACGAAGTGGTTATGCGCAGCCGTGAGGTCTATATTCTTCCTGTGTTACAGTATCAATCAATAAGGGTGCATCGTTATCGGTTGACTGGGTGGTCGAATGGTACAAACTGACCAAACCTGAAGTTGGTGGTCTCGAGTTCAATTTCAGCCAAAGACAAGCCAATAATACGTGTCAGTTGCTATGTTTGTTCTCGAGAATGAAGCAAAATCAACTAGGCTTATTGTTTTACGTTTGTTTTGGCTAAAAAATGTTAAAACATGAGAAGAATTAGTAACTTGACCAATGTAATGTTAATAATGGTATTCTTATAATTATCAAATATATGTTTGTGTTATTAACATAAATTTTGTGTTGTTAACTAATTTTGTGGCAGATAAAATCATGTTTCTCTGGTACAGTAATAAATATAATCATGGGTTGAGAGTAGCAGTAAAAAAATCGCTGTAGGGGCAGGGGTTCTGTAGAGGGGGCACTGTAAGTAATACTTTCACACAGTTATAGTTTTGCATGGAAGCTGAAAATTGTTACATTTAGGTCATCAAAAAAAATAAAATCATAAATGATATAATTTAAAAAAAAATAAATAGAATGTATTTCCTGAATTAGTCAGTAAAACCAACCACATGGTCATAGCAACATATAAGAACCTAATCAATCAAAATACATAACAATAACTAGACTTAGACCGCGTTAGGCTTAGACTCTAAGAAATATAGACTTTGACTTATACTTATAATTATAATATATAAGATACAAGCAATAATACTAATAATAGCACTAATACTAATAATATTGCTATCAACAATTTCAATATTAATTAAAATTAATTCAATTAAAATCTTACGTTCAACACATCCAAAGTTCTAGTTCAAAACAACCCATCATGCGGCTAATTACGCATAATATTTTTTTTTTAATTGCCAAACAAGCGATTGATAAACATTATTTGGCTTAATTCCTAGCCGACTGCGTATAACCCTGAGAGTTATACGCAGTCAGCTGTTAATAACCCTCAGGGTTATGCGCAGTTGACTGCGTATAACTCTCAGGGTTATGCGCAGCCGACTGCATATAACGCTTCCCTTGGCCTAATGTCGGCAGTTGTGCTCCAATATTTTCTTTTTTATTTGGAACCTGCAATAAAGTGTGTATTGTTGTGCTCCAATTATTTGGTTTTTTTTATTTGGAACCTGCAATAAAGTGTATATTTCATGAAACTGTAAGTTGGGTTTTAATTATTTCTTTAAGAATTATTTTTGGCCTCTTTTTTTTCCCAGACCCCTCCCCCACTTTAAATACCAAAATCAGAAACAAATAAATTATCTGGGGAGGGGTGACCCCTCCCCAATGTAAAAAAAAATGAAATAAGCCAACAGTTGATCCATAAACTAGGGGTGTGCCGGATCCGTTTTTTCCAACCGGATCCGGATTTTCTTATGCGAAATCCGCCGGATCCGGATTCCGGTTTCTCCCATATTCCGGATTTTGGTACTATTGGTAGATACTTCGGTAAGTCAAGGTGGACTACTACTTTTTGTGTATGGGAATTCGCAATCGGCGCCAAAAAATCCGAGTTTTTAATTTTCCGATGTGTGTGTCTATTTATTATTAAATTAGTATTTTCGATATATATTTGAGTTCCGTTCCATTTGGATAAGTGTCTTACGAGAGACGCCATGTTTCTACGCGTTCGCAGCAGGTTATGCAGCTCGCTCAACCTAATTTCGCCATGGGGTTGGCCACGCCCCCCTTTTTAATGGCGGAAGTTGACGATACTTAGGAAATATTAATTTATTATCACTATTTACATCAAAATAATTGATAACTTGTGTTTCAGAATGCATTTAAAGACATTTAAACTGGAATGTTTTAATTTGAGCTTTAACAACCCGGTAGAATCCATATTATAAATGATCAGAATTTACCGTGTGCAACACGTTGTCATTGGCAACCATTCACAGCCACTTGCATAACTGTATCGTAGTACTACCTCAGAGTTTCATTCATAAGAGTTTGCCGTGTGCAAAAACTATTAAACCATTGGTCAGGGAAAGCTTTAATTAATTATTCATGTGCCAAAGTTGAAAGTTTAAACTAAGTCTAAACAGTATTTTAGTGATAAGGCAGGGAATGCGTTGCCTTATATAAACTATATAGTCATTGCGCATGACGGGATTGGTGGAATGAGATCACAGAATGTGGAGATGCAGTCCATGTTAAAAAATGACAAACCAAGTCGTACTTTAAAAATTCATAACTTTAAAACTACAACAGCTAAAAATATGATTTTGGTGTTATAATTCTTTAAAAAATTACATCTTTTCAACTATGCCATTGGTTTATTTTTACAAAAAGTTTAAATTTTCTTATCAAAGTCCCTACACTATTGGCCACTATTAGCGGTGCTGACTCTAGCCTCTGGTATGTACGGAATATTAAACATTAAACAAGCTCAACGCTCGAAACAATCGATTAATGTATCGTGATCGTGTGAAATTCGGGAAAGAGAATTACTTTTATTTCAGATTATGATCCGGTGAGTCACAAAATCTGGCAAATTCCGAAATCCGGTATATTCCGGAATCCGGTTATTCCGGATACATGTAAATCCGGCGGAACCGGATTTCACCGGATAGTGCAAAATCCGGCGGAACCGGATTCCGGACCGGGGTCCGGCACACCCCTACCATAAACCTAACCCAAAGCTGAAGGCCACAAGTAAGCACCAACTGTTAGCAGCCGTATAAACACATGGAATTTGAAAATGAACAAAAAACCATAAAAATGGCAAAAAAGAAGCCAAAAATAATTCTAAAAACCAAGAAATAATTAAAACCCAACGGCTTTACAACCCAACTTACAGTTTCATGAAATACACTTTTACACACTTTATTTCAGGTTCCGGTAGTTTCAATTGAAAAAAAAATATGCACAAATAATTGGAGCACAACTGCGGCATTAGGCCAACATGTTGAAAAGATGGTGGCTCAAAAAAAATAAGATAATTAGCCAACCAATGATAATTTAAAATTATAAACAATCAACCAATTAAGTTTTAAATAGAAACATGTCATCAGCACTTCCACCAATAATAAAATGAACAAAATGTAATGACTCCTGCACAAATTTTAAATAAACCGCAAATGACGTCATGGGTATTAGTCCTAACAATTTAAGTTTAAGGGAAATAGTTTTTAATCAACCCATACTCTTTTCTTCTGAAACTATTATTGAGCTTTAATTGGGATTAGATCTTTCTGATGCTGATGAGGAAAAGGGTCGTGAAATTGTGTAAGGAAATAGTCCTACTATAGCTCAAAATTTAGGCCTACACGAGCCTGTAGGTTTGACAGGTTTTAGACAGAGTGCCAACGTATATATTAATTTAGTACTATCGACTTGACACTGTGCTAGCCACACAATGCCCTAAAAGTGAACAAAACACATTAGTATTTTTAACACCCATTTCTGAACAGATAATTCTCTACGAGCTATCAATAATTGAAAACAAAAAAGTTATAAGACAATTTGCAAACCTAACAAATTTTGGCCCATTCCAAAATGTCTAGGCCACAGGGAATAATTAGCAAAATAATAGTGGGTACCCGGTGCTTAGACTATACATAGCAAAAAAAAGTAGGTCGGTGCCAGAAAGGTTAGTATATTAGATAAAATTCAGTCACCTTAATCTGTATATTACAAATGTAAAAAGAGATAGACAGAGAAAGGTGACTAAATATTTTAAATTTATCTTGCCTCATTATGTCAAATAATCTAAATCATGTCATATAATTGCCTGAGCCATTCTGGCTTGCAAACTGTTGTGAAATGGAAAGCTTACGTAAAAAGGGCTAGCTGAGTTGGGATTAGCAGTAGGCATGACAATGTCTTAGATGGTACATAGGTCATGGCGCTTCCTAGACGACCTAGACTTACATCTTCTTAGTTACTAATTCAAAACATTTGAATTTTAGCTCTTAACCTATTTGATAAACGTTGCTCTCGCCCAGCAACTACAACTTTTTTTTTCTAATTTTTGTCTTGTTAGTGGAGATTCCACTACCGGTACCGTACCCAGAAAATTATGTTTAAATGTACATGATTACATAATTGAAATGAATGGCATGCTTGTTAAAAATAGACCTAATACACCTTTACTAAATGTTTAAAAAGGCCTATCTAGAAAGCTACTGGTATCTATAAAGATTCTTTAGCACAAATTGCAGCTGAGACTTCCACTGGAGGATTAGTCACACTAGTCACTTATGTAGGTTTCATTAAAAAATAAGCTTCATCCATTCTCTTCCTGAAGACTGAGAGAGGCCAAAGATCTTCTTCAGGAATCAAAATATTATTTACCACATTATTGTTAATTTTTAGGCTTTTACACTAATAATAAATGATAGAATTGTTTGACAGGTTTAAAATAACTTTTGCCCCCTCATGATTACTTTGTATTAGTCCAATGTCCATATAATTTCCTTGTAAATCATTTTCACCCTATGACAGTGGGTCAATATCAGCGACTCTAAATCAGCATGTGGCACTTTGTAAGAATAGATTCAGCTCTCTAATTTTTTAAAATTAACGACTTTTGAGCTTACAGCCCCTCTCTGCGGCTCGGCTCTTGTCCCTGAATAATTTCTCAGCATACATAATTTATAAAATGACTCCTCACTCAAAAACCGTTATCATCCTCTGAAGTTAAGCCTTGAATTGCTCAGTACATAATAAACCTATCATTTCAATATTTCCAACTCACATTTATCCCCTTATGTCTTCTAAAGATATACAAAAAATGTTTGTTCTGTATTATTTTAGGGTTTCTGCACCTGTTAGACAGGCCCCTGCACCTGTCAGACAGGCCCCAGCCCAAGTACCAGCTCATGCGCCACCACCTCCTCCACCAGCAACTTATGCCCCACAACCTAAACAGCCTGGTATGTTTGCCCAGATGGCAACTACAGCTGCAGGTGTAGCAGTTGGCTCAGCAGTGGTCAGTACTACCATTTTATTAATTTTGGCCTGTTGTAAATGTCATTGCTTTGTATGAAAATGATTTCTCAACTTCATTAAACTTGCCTCATTTAAAGGGGGGAGGGGGGAAAATATTCGCGCTGACATATCTCTCCTTGTTATTTTACAGTAACAATTAAATCATGCACCCCCTTCAGATTTCTTTGAATGTATGATTCTGCATGATTTAAAAAATTATTTTAAAAATGTATCTGTGTGTTAGTAGTGGATATAACATGGATAACATTGGTTTAACATTTAGAAAATTGTTGACGAAAGTCAATTATGTTTTTCCATGTTATTTATTGATTGATTTATTTTTCTCAGGGTCATGTTGTTGGTTCTGCCATCACAGGGGGTTTGGGAGGTGGTAGCAGCCATGAGACGGCCCCAGCTCCTGCCGCTGCCCCAGCACCTGTAGCTGCCCCCGCCCCACCAGCCCAGCCACTATACAACAATGCTGATCAGAGGGCCAATCCTTGCCAGTATCAACTTCAACAATTCCTTGAATGCACACAGACACAACATGATATAAGCCTTTGTGCTGGGTTTAATGAAGCCTTGAAGGAATGCAAGTTTCGATATGGTGAGTTAAGATTTGATTTTTGTGTTTTAGTTTGATAGCTGCTGTTAAGTATTTCATAATTTTATCACTATTCTCTTGAGAACAAAGTTATGAGCCCAAGGATGGAGCTAGTAAGGGGATATCGATTGGTTGTATTTTTTGTTGTTGTTGTTGTTGTTGTGAATTAAGTCGTTCTTTTTCCATTGAACCAATTCTTTTTCAGATTAGATAACAAATAAACCCACAAATGTCAAAAACAGTTCACTTAGCAATGGTTAACAATCAGTCTTAGGGACCGTACTCTTGTCATTATATGTAGGATTATAGATGAGGATTATATGTAGCTTCTTAAAAATTTATGATCCATGAGGTTCACTGACTTCGCTTAACTTAGTTTAATTTCATGAAAAGTAATTTGAGAGTTATTTGCTTCTGTAGCTATTAATCCATTTGTCTGTTCACAGGTCTACAATGAAACAGTAACAGAAGTCAAGTAATCTCAGGCCCTCCAGATGGTTACACCAGTCAAATGTACATAGTGCAGATGGGCATACAAGTGACATTAACCAAATTTAGAGTGATTTAGTTAGACTCATAGTCAAGAGAACCTGGAGATAGTTGCAGTTTATTTGTTAAATGAAAGAGGTGGTATTATATGGGCTTTGAGTTTTCCAATTTTCTTTTTCACTTCTGCTTGAACGATCCTTCATTATATTTTTTTTTTTTTTTGCCCCTAATTTTACATTTTGAAACTGAATTGAAGAGTGTACAAGTTTTTAAAAACTTTTAAGTAGTACTTGTACAGTATATATGAATAAGTTCCTCAGACCTCAAGTCTAGCCACAAAAAAAACACACTTTTTTTGGATGGTTGTCTGTGTGCAGTAAAGAAGAGCACTGTCTGGTTTATTAACATTGTTGTATGCAATAACCACATTGTATACTGAAAATAACCTACAGATATTATAAATAAATGGTCATGCACAAAATTGTTGAATTTGCTTGAAAGTCATTTTGTCATGTGATTTTGATTTATAAAAACAGCTTAAATTACACCTGCACCTGCTTGATAGTTAACTATTTCCCGCAATTCTAAGACAAAATTACATGTCTGCCTAATCCCAAAATAGCTGAAATTGTAGGAACATATTAGTCTTGACAACACCGCGAATAAATGGTTGCGCATATTTGATTTGACAATTCCATCTTGTACGTCGTATCAAATTCTTTTTATTTGTAGGTTGTTATAACCAGGTTATGGTTTAAAAGATTATAATTAATGGAACTGAGATGCAACTTTATGACATCAGATATTACATTTTTATTAATCCATTGCCTGTTTTAGCTAGACCTTTTTTTAAAATATAGTTTCTTACATTTAAAAGTTAAGTCCTTGACTTATTTTAGTTTTTTTTTTTGTTATGGCATTTTATAGTTAAATGTTTGCCATGGCTGTTTCAGAAAGTCTATGTTTTCTATGATATCTTTTATTTAATAAAATAATCCCTTGACTATTTTAGCAAATGTTTGTTTTGCTATGGTATTTTATTTTTAAAAGGCTAAACACTTTACTTTTTAGCTAGTGTTTGTTTTGCTATTTTATTTTATATTTTAAAACTCTTCTTTCTAATAAAAATTTTGTGTATCATAATTTATGCCCAATCTCGGTTATACAATAATGATTACCAAATGATAAGAAATCTTCGGCCAGTTTTGCTGACATCAGCTGTGTGTGAATCTTGCCAACAATCCGACGGTGTCATCAAACATTAATTTATTGGATTGTGGCTTTAATGTTGTCATTAAACATTATTTTATTGGATTGTGCCAACAATCAGATGGTGTTACTAAACATTATTTTATTGGATTGTGCCAACAATCAGATGGTGTTATTAAACATTATTTTATTGGATTGTGCCAACAATCAGATGGTGTTACTAAACATTATTTTATTGGATTGTGCCAACAATCAGATGGTGTTACTAAACATTATTTTATTGGATTGTGCCAACAATCAGATGGTGTTACTAAACATTATTTTATTGGATTGTGCCAACAATCAGATGGTGTTACTAAACATTATTTTATTGGATTGTGCCAACAATCAGATGGTGTTACTAAACATTATTTTATTGGATTGTGCCAACAATCAGATGGTGTTACTAAACATTATTTTATTGGATTGTGCCAACAATCAGATGTTGTTACTAAACATTATTTTATTGGATTGTGCCAACAATAAGATGTTGTTACTAAATATTATTTTATTGGATTGTGCCAACAATCAGATGGTGTTACTAAACATTATTTTATTGGATTGTGCCAACAATCAGATGGTGTTACTAAACATTATTTTATTTGATTGTGCCAACAATCAGATGGTGTTACTAAACATTATTTTATTGGATTGTGCCAACAATCAGATGGTGTTACTAAACATTATTTTATTGGATTGTGCCAACAATCAGATGTTGTTATTAAACATTATTTTATTGGATTGTGCCAACAATCAGATGGTGTTACTAAACATTATTTTATTGGATTGTGCCAACAATCAGATGGTGTTACTAAACATTATTTTATTGGATTGTGCCAACAATCAGATGGTGTTACTAAACATTATTTTATTGGATTGTGTCAACAATCAGATGGTGTTACTAAACATTATTTTATTGGATTGTGCCAACAATCAGATGTTGTTACTAAACATTATTTTATTGGATTGTGCCAACAATCAGATGTTGTTACTAAACATTATTTTATTGGATTGTGCCAACAATCAGATGGTGTTATTAAACATTATTTTTATTGGATTTTGCCAACAATCATATGGTGTTACTAAACATTATTTTATTGGATTGTGCCAACAATCAGATGTTGTTACTAAACATTATTTTATTGGATTGTGCCAACACTCAGATGGTGTTACTAAACATTATTTTATTGGATTGTGCCAACAATCAGATGGTGTTACTAAACATTATTTTATTGGATTGTGCCAACAATCAGATGGTGTTACTAAACATTATTTTATTGGATTGTGCCAATGATGATTCAGTTTTATTACACTGTTATATTAGATAAATAGTGGGGAAAATACACATATACATGTGTACTACAGGAAGGCATAGAGGAAAAAGTAAAAAGACTGATAAGCAAACTTTGTTTAGGAACTATGTCAAGATCTTGGAAAATTATTTGTTGACCTACGTAAAGATTTTCAGTCAGGACGGCAGATACATAATACCTTGATACTAATGATAATCATAGCAAAAGAATATCAGCACATTTTGTTCTGTTTGCTGCGCTAAATATTTATATTTATGAAACACTCACTCTTTTAATTTAACGCACTTTGTGTTAACTTTGAAGAACGAAAATTATAATGTTATCTTGTTTTTGGGGGACTTTACTACTATTTTTATGTTAGGGTGGACAGTGGGTGGCGTCGTAAGTTAGTTGTAGGAAAAAACCGAGGAAACTGTAGTCTAGGGAGGCGACCACACTCCAGTCAGGACACATGGAATTAAGTGGATTCTTTCCCTTGTGTGATGATTTTTTTGATCATTCCTCTCCAGCTCAATCGCTGGGAGTGAGCATGGTAACATCGCATGGGAATGAGCGCTGTAGAACCGCTCAAATCAAATCAACAACTCTAGTAACACGTGTAGCTCAAGTCTTTTAACTTGTAAACTTCTGTGTAGGTGTCAATGTTCACCCTACTTTTTTTCGAAAGTTATGCGTGTAGAAATTGCTGTGTGTGTAACATTTTTAGAGATGGTGCACATTTTTGTGCGTAGTGCGATGAAGTGAAATCTAAAAATTAAATAATTGGCGGAGTGGGCGCCTGGAAAAGATTGCGTTGTACCCCACTTGTTTCAAAAACTAAATAATACCGGTATTATTATTCATTTCCTTATATATTCTTTCAAAACGTGGATAAAACATAAATGATATTAAAAAATTGATTACGCTCATATAAAAATCTAGTTTGCGCCCTTTAAATTTTGTTTGCACTGGCTTTACGAGAATTGCTCACAGCTTAGAGGGAACAATGGTTGGAATGTAAGCTTTGGTTCCTCCATCTCCAAACACATGATACATTGGTTGGAATGTAAGCTTTGGTTCCTCGATCTCCAAACACATGATACATTGGTTGGAATGTAAGCTTTGGTTCCTCGATCTCCAAACACATGATACATTGGTTGGAATGTAAGCTTTGGTTCCTCGATCTCCAAACACATGATACATTGGTTGGAATGTACGCTTTGGTTCCTCCATCTCCAAACACATGATACATTGGTTGGAGTGTAAGCTTTGGTTCCTCCAAACAACCACAGGTATGTTTCATTATAGTTTTTAATCTATACTCTAACATGCATTGTATATTGGAATAATAACATGTATACTTTAGCTAATGCCGAAAGAGTACTGTTGTTGGGTTCGTTTAAAATAAAACCTCTTCACTCGAATACATATAGTTGAATTATTAACAAGGTAAAATGACACTTTAAACTTTCGTCCTTGTTAAAATTTGAAGACCATATTTTTGGGTATAATTGCAAATATTTATTGGAAATAAACAACATTAATTATTAATAAGTAAACGAGTGTTAAATTTGGATCATGTTCGAACTAGTGAATTTGGTTTAAGCCCAGTTTAATTAGACAGCGTGTGTATTTATTGGATAAGCTCATAGATATACACCGTTGAACTGCTCTGTTAGAAAGGTGGGATCAGCTCTTTGCAGTGGCTGTAAGCAAAATAGAATAAACTGGATTAGTTTCAAAGAGAATTCACCACACGTAAACACAGCCTCATCAAATATCACTGTCGAACTGAGCAAGAGGTAACACGACATTTCCTCCAATGAAAATTAACAATAAAATAAACAAAGGGGAATGACTCCTGCAGCAATATTGAATAAACACGCAAAATGACGTCATGAGCACGCACGGAGCTCAACAAAAGCCTGCCGATAATAGTATTGATAGTTCCCATCGAATATCGCTCACAAATTTTTCTTGAAATAACTTTCGTCCTTTAATCATAACTGACGTGTATTTATTGTCACATTTATGTATTTCATTTAAAAAACACGTGTATTCCAGAATATTTCGAAAGGTAAAATTTTTAAGTAACATGACATTGGGGAAGCACTGATGAAGTATCTTTTGTTGTGTGTAGCAGCCTAGTGATGGCTTACTCTCATCACGTGACCACACAAGGAAGTGACTAAGCGACTCCCATTATGTGCACTTTTATGAATTGTTACATTGTCATTGTTAGAGATTATTGGGAGATTATATTTTGGGATCTCCCAGCCCCACTTCATTGGACGCTGCCCCACCCCACCACCAACTCACCAGGAACCACGGCGACCCAGTAGGCATCACACACATGTTAGGGGTTGAGTACAGAGATGTTTGATAAGATGTCCGGCCTGTTGCGCTATCGACTGACCAGACAAGGTCAAAGCGCCCTTTACAGCTACACCGGAATACGAGGGGTCAGCTATATACACCTGCAATTGATAGTTCATGATCAATAATGAACACCTGGGATAGTATGTTTTAATGATGCACAAGTAACGTCTGTAATTAGATTTTCTTAAATCAATCATGTCAATTTATAACACTATGTTCTGTTGATGAAAAATGTCCCGTGCATCATTAGTGACGGGTTACAACTAGGTTAATCGATATTGATAAGTTTAGAAAAAAAAAGCTGAGGTCTAAAAATAATTTTGCCCACCCATCTTCTAACATAGGGATTTATTTATTTTATTTCGACTAAGAAAATCACAATAGTTTTTTTTTAAATTACAATTTCTTCTTCTTGTACCTTAACATTTTGATTAGCCAAGGACCAGATGTATGGGCTCAAATTCCCCTGCTGACTTGTAAACAAAACAACCACCTTATTAGCACAACCCCTCGCACCTCTGGTTCTGGTAAAGCCAACTTTGGAAAGATTCTGGGAATTAAACAAAAGAGTAAACATTGACATTTAGTGAAATAGGTTGCATAGTCTATATGTAACGAACGGTATTTTAGCAGCCGGTTGTAGATTCCTATTGATAAATGCAAGATGTGGATTCGTGGTAAATTACAACAGCTAAATCAGTTACACGAACAACCCGTGCCACTACGTCTTTAAAAAGAAGAATGAATTCAATAAGACATCATTACCAGCCGAAAACTATTTCTCAGCAGCTGTGTTATAGAGAATGAGAAGTATGATAAATAATATGAAAAGTTAAAGCATTAAAAATATAAAGGCTGTTTTTTAAAAAGAAATGTTAAGTGCAACCATGAGTCCATACTATTGGCTGAGAAGTAACAAAAAATTTCCCTACAAGACTTAAGTATTGAGTTGCGGGTCATCGAAGCCATCTGTGTCCACCACCACCCTTAGAATTTAGAGCTGGTTAACAAGGTGACAGGTAACTGATTTGCTTAGATCTCTGAGAGATTACCCGGAACGTAGAGTCTAAAACTATCTTCACGTAAATTCTCATTTCCAATTTGGAGAAGGGAGTTTGGGAACGCACGTGAATTAAATTTGAATTTGAGATGTACCCTCGTGCTGACTGGCAATGATCGTACTTGGTCTTTACGTCACGGGTGGGACGACGTAAAGACAAGCTTTGATCTTAACAGCGCGCGTTCTCACGGAAAGACGGTTAGTGCCTTTCAGTATGAGTTTTGTACAATGGTTATATTTCGTCGTTGAGACCCATGGTGAACTCATCCCAAACCAACGAGTTGCATCCCACCCGAAAGTACCTGAGATGTGCTGCTGCACAGTTTCGAAATGTTGCACAATGAATTCGAACAGTGATTTTTAGTTGAGAGCCAGTTTTAAAGGCAGAGGGCGCTGTCTCTCCACAGCCTAAGAAAGTTTCGGATACACATGAGGCATCTACAGAAATCGCGAGTTTCTGTTCTTTCGTAAGCTAACACGCAACAGATCAATGAAAGCGTTTTCCCTGTGCCATCTGGAGCGTCAAGAGTAAAACCTACCAATCAACAGATCAATGAAAGCGTTTTCCCTGTGCCATCTGGAGTGTCAAGAGTAAAACCTACCAATCAACAGATTAATGAAAGCGTTTTCCCTGTGCCATGTGGAGCGTCAAGAGTAAAACCTACCAATCAACAGATTAATGAAAGCGTTTTCCCTGAGCCATCTGGAGCGTCAAGAGTAAAACCTACCAATCAACAGATCAATGAAAGCGTTTTCCCTGTGCCATCTGGAGCGCCAAGAGTAAAACATACCAACCAACAGATTAATGAAAGCGTTTTCCCTGTGCCATCTGGAGCGTCAAGAGTAAAACATACCAACCAACAGATTAATGAAAGCGTTTTCCCTTTGCCATCTGGAGCGCCAAGAGTAAAACCTACCAATCAACAGATTAATGAAAGCGTTTTCCCTGTGCCATCTGGAGCGCCAAGAGTAAAACCTACCAATCAACAGATTAATGAAAGCGTTTTCCCTGTGCCATCTGGAGCGTCAAGAGTAAAACCTACCAATCAACAGATTAATGAAAGCGTTTTCCCTGTGCCATCTGGAGCGCCAAGAGTAAAACCTACCAATCAACAGATTAATGAAAGCGTTTTCCCTGTGCCATCTGGAGCGCCAAGAGTAAAACCTACCAATCAACAGATTAATGAAAGCGTTTTCCCTGTGCCATCTGGAGCGTCAAGAGTAAAACCTACCAATCAACAGATTAATGAAAGCGTTTTCCCTGTGCCATCTGGAGCGCCAAGAGTAAAACCTACCAATCAACAGATTAATGAAAGCGTTTTCCCTGTGCCATCTGGAGCGCCAAGAGTAAAACCTACCAGTCAACAGATTAATGAAAGCGTTTTCCCTGTGCATCTGGAGCGTCAAGAGTAAAACCTACCAATCAACCGATTAATGAAAGCATTTTCCCAGTGCCATCTGGAGCGTCAATAGTAAAACCTACCAATCAACCGATTTATGAAAGCGTTTTCCCTGTGCATCTGGAGCGTCAAGAGTAAAACCTACCAACCAACAGATTAATGAAAGCATTTTCCCTGTGCATCTGGAGCGCCAAGAGTAAAACCTACCAGTCAACAGATTAATGAAAGCGTTTTCCCTGTGCCATCTGGAGCGTCAAGAGTAAAACCTACCAGTCAACAGATTAATGAAAGCGTTTTCCCTGTGCCATCTGGAGCGTCAAGAGTAAAACCTACCAATCAACAGATTAATGAAAGCATTTTCCCTGTGCCATCTGGAGCGTCAAGAGTAAAACCTACCAGTCAACAGATTAATGAAAGCGTTTTCCCTGTGCCATCTGGAGCGCCAAGAGTAAAACCTACCAACCAACAGATTAATGAAAGCGTTTTCCCTGTGCCATCTGGAGCGCCAAGAGTAAAACCTACCAATCAACAGATTAATGAAAGCGTTTTCCCTGTGCCATCTGGAGCGTAAAGAGTAAAACCTACCAATCAACCGATTAATGAAAGCATTTTCCCTGGGCCATCTGGAGCTTCAAGAGTAAAACCTACCAACCAACAGATTAATGAAAGCGTTTTCCCTGTGCCATCTGGAGCGCCAAGAGTAAAACCTACCAATCAACAGATTAATGAAAGCGTTTTAACTGTGCCATCTGGAGCGTCAAGAGTAAAACCTACCAATCAACCGATTAATGAAAGCATTTTCCCTGTGCCATCTGGAGCATCAAGAGTAAAACCTACCAACCAACAGATCAATGAAAGCATTTTCCCTGTACCATCTGGAGCGTCAAGAGTAAAACCTACCAACCAACAGATCAATGAAAGCATTTTCCCTGTGCCATCTGGAGCATCAAGAGTAAAACCTACCAACGAACAGATTAATTAAAGCATTTTCCCTGTGCCATCTGGAGCGTCAAGAGTAAAACCTACCAATCAACAGATTAATAAAAGCATTTTCCCTGTGCCATCTGGAGCGTCAAGAGTAAAACTTACCAACCAACAGATTAATGAAAGAGTTTTCCCTGTACCATCTGGAGCGTCAAGAGTAAAATCTACCAATCAACCGATTAATGAAAGCATTTTCTCTGTGCCATCTGGAGCGTCAATAATGAAAACAAGAAAGCAACATTTTAACTAAATGTTTTCCCTGTGCCATCTGACGACAAGCCACGACGACTCAGAACCTACGTGACATACTGTTTAGTGACAGCCTTAACTATACGTGATTTGATATTGACTAAGCACGGATCAAGAGACGGGATGCTAAGGTAGGTCAAATTGACTTTAGTTTTAGTGTTTGAACATTTAGACATTGAAAGTATTAAGTTTTCTAGGATCCCTAAGCACTCAAAATGATATAAACTAATATATAACAACAACAGATTTCATCAGTTGATCTCGAATTCAAAACACTGTTGGTCAAGCAACCAAATATTCTTAAACATAAACCTAATACACATTCAGGAAACAAATCATTAATAGCAACAATGTTTGGTCCTTTTAGGCGAATTAAAGCCAATAAAAGAATTTAACAACAACAAAAAAAAAAACTTGTTAGGTTACCTCTAGTTCAGTGGTTCGCAACCTTTCAAATTCCGCAAAAAAAAAAAAAAAAGGAAAGCTCTCTCTTTTAGGGGACCCCCCCCCCCCCCCCCCCCCCCCAAACAAAAAATTTATTTTAGTTGTTACTTCATAAATATGTGTTTTCCGATGGTCTTAAACGACTCCTGAGTAAGGTTTGTTCGACCGCCAATAGGATTCGCGACACACAGATTGAGAACCGCCGCTATAGATTATAAGAGGAATCACCATGAACAATCCAACTTCATTGGGCTGTCGTTTTTACTATCCCTCGATCAGTAAGTGAGTTGGAGAATGGAATTTGGCTTTATATAAATAGTAAGGAAACGTCTCATTGAATCCAGTCTTTTCCCACTGTGTCTATCACACGTATTTCGAGGACTCGGTACAAAAATGCTATGAACCTACCTGTAGAATATTAGGCAACTTTCTCTCTCTGTATAACGGCAATCTTCTTTTAATATAATTGACGTCGTCGTCCAAATATAAACCATCATCATCATCACAATTGCAAGCGGAAACGACGCCATACTGAAAATTCATGAGCGTAGGTCTCATAAATGTTTTTCAAAATTTGCCACCCCCCCCCCCAATCCCGCTTGAATGAATTACAGATTGATATAAAAGATTTATTTGATATTAGATAATGTTTGTGTCCTTTATCAGAGCTTCTCAATTTTGGCAATGTGACGTACCAGAATGATCTGTATAACGGCAATTTTCTTTTAATATAATTGACGTCGTCGTCCAAATATAAACCATCATCAACATCACAATTGCAAGCGGAAACGACGCCATACTGAAAATTCATGAGCGTAGGTCTCATAAATGTTTTTCAAAATTTGCCACCCCCCCCCCCCAATCCCGCTTGAATGAATTACAGATTGATATAAAAGATTTATTTGATATTAGATAATGTTTGTGTCCTTTATCAGAGCTTCTCAATTTTGGCAATGTGACGTACCAGAATGACATCCTCCACATATATCAGAAAGCTGTCTCCGGGCTGCATTTTTAAATGCTATTTAAACATCTTACATTTTTTTTCAATTGTGTGCAGTTAGCATACCTCCATGTTCAGTTTATGAGTTTTCGATGCCTTGGATGGTTTTATAATCATATTAAAAAAAAACAAACAGCAACTAGTTATGACCCTTTAAAATGAGACGTGACATCAATGTCATTTGTAAGTGTAATGAATTAATGACTTTGTGTGCTAAAAGAATTCAAAACTCCTTTAAATAGAACGTCATTGCAAAATCTAAAAATGCAACCGTGTTCAAAATGTAATCTCTATCGCCAGCAAACAATGTTACTTTAAGACACACTTTGAGAATTACACGATTTTCAGGTGTGTACTAAAAAGAAAGGGTGTGGAGGAGCACTCACCCTGAATCCACCTTTCAATTTGGAATTGTCCATGGTGTGTGAAATGAAAGAAGTGGCCCAGTCTGTTGCATCTTGGCCAAGAGATGCAGGACTGAAGACGAAGTAGATGTCTGAAGGATGCAGGAGCCCGCAAGCTGGATTCCAGAAATAATAATAACATATCGTTAGTAGCATGTATTTATTGATTAGTTTGTAGACCGCACGGACTCGATAAGTTTTACCTCTACTACTATGTTGCTTTTGATAAATTATGTTTACTGGCTAGCTATAGGTGCTGGGTAGCTGAGTGGTCTGAACTGAGCAAATCTCGAGTTGGTGGTCTGGACATCAATTCCAGCCGAAGCCCAGTCAAGTTAACCTTTGGAAGGCGACTCATCTAAGAGAAGGAAACTCTGAAATCAAACCCGGAGAATGAAACATTCCGACAACTCCTGCGACGAGAGAGAGAGAGAGAGAGAGAGAGAGAGAGAGAGAGAGAGAGAGAGAGAGGGGTGGTGATTCATTTTTATTTAGTTCGTGCTTCATTTTTCTAACAGTGCGAGAATAATCATCCGTAGAACCGGGTTTCTCAAAGGTCCAACCTTGGGCGCTGGAGTCTGTGGGCGTATATTCCGTGGGAATAACAGAAAAAGTATACATATTTTTAAAGTATTTTTTGGAAAGCCATTTATCTATATAATGGCGCAGTAATGTTGATCTAATTTAAGAATGCCGTGTTTCAATGAGTATGGAGATTGTATGAAGCTAGCGTGTTTTAAAGAATAAACTGTTGTATATTATATTAGAAATGATGAATTGTGTAAATCTGACTCTGTTGATTTCACTCCTGAGACGATCTGTTCACTTAAGAGGGAGCGTAGAGAATGGCAGCTGTCTACCATTGGCTGAGCATGACCAAAATGTTCACATTCTCGTAAGCAAGGGTATTCCTACTGATGACTAACTTGTGACCGAGATTGGCTCTAGTTACAATACTAAAAGTTTCTCTACGGCTAAATCCCCCAACCAAACTCTAAACACAAGAAACCCCAATTAAAAAAAAAAAAGACTGATTAATTTAAAAGAAAAGAAAAGCTACTAATAATATAATAATTAAATGTATACTTCTTGACAGTGGTGTCAATAGGGTTGGTGTTCTTTGATGACTAACTAATATTGCTCTGGTTGTACCCTGCTATGAAGCACCATTCTCTTTATTGTACCCTGCTATGAAGCACCCTGGTCTGACTTTACTCCTCTACAAAGCACCATGATCTGGTTGTACCTAGCTATAAAGCACCCTGCTCTAGTTGTGCNACATTCCGACAACTCCTGCGACGAGAGAGAGAGAGAGAGAGAGAAAGAAAGAGAGAGAGAGAGAGAGAGAGAGGTTTGGTGATTCATTTTTATTTAGTTCCTGCTTCATTTTTCTAACAATGCGAGAATAATCATCCGTAGAACCGGGTTTCTCAAAGGTCCAACCTTGGGCGCTGGAGTCTGTGGGCGTATATTCCGTGGGAATAACAGAAAAAGTATACATATTTTTAAAGTATTTTTTGGAAAGCCATTTATCTATATAATGGCGCAGTAATGTTGATCTAATTTAAGAATGCCGTGTTTCAATGAGTATGGAGATTGTATGAAGCTAGCGTGTTTTAAAGAATAAACTGTTGTATATTATATTAGAAATGATGAATTGTGTAAATCTGACTCTGTTGATTTCACTCCTGAGACGATCTGTTCACTTAAGAGGGAGCGTAGAGAATGGCAGCTGTCTACCATTGGCTGAGCATGACCAAAATGTTCACATTCTCGTAAGCAAGGGTATTCCTACTGATGACTAACTTGTGACCGAGATTGGCTCTAGTTACAATACTAAAAGTTTCTCTACGGCTAAATCCCCCAACCAAACTCTAAACACAAGAAACCCCAATTAAAAAAAAAAAAGACTGATTAATTTAAAAGAAAAGAAAAGCTACTAATAATATAATAATTAAATGTATACTTCTTGACAGTGGTGTCAATAGGGTTGGTGTTCTTTGATGACTAACTAATATTGCTCTGGTTGTACCCTGCTATGAAGCACCATTCTCTTTATTGTACCCTGCTATGAAGCACCCTGGTCTGACTTTACTCCTCTACAAAGCACCATGATCTGGTTGTACCTAGCTATAAAGCACCCTGCTCTAGTTGTGCCCTGCTATAAAGCACCTTGCTGTGGTTGTAACCCTTCTATGAATCACCCTGATCTGGAGTTACCTTGCTATGAAGCACCCTGGTTTGGTTGTACCCTGCTATGAAGCACCCTGGTGTGGTTTGTACCCTGCTATGAAGCAACCCTGCTCTTGTTGTACCCTGCTATGAAGCAACCCTGCTCTTGTTGTACCCTGCTATGAAGCGCACTGGTCTGTTTGTACCCTGCAATGAAGCAACCCTGCTCTTGTTGTACCCTGCTATGAAGCAACCCTGCTCTTGTTGTACCCTGCTATGAAGCAACCCTGCTCTTGTTGTACCCTGCTATGAAGCAACCCTGGTCTGGTTTTACCCTGCTATGAAGCAACCTTGCTGTCAGTTTAGTTTTGAAATTCGAAACCATTTCAACGAAATCCAAGTTTCCACGTGGCTTCACAACTCCTCCGTCCCCATGTTCCCCCATAACCCGCTACACACCAGCAACGGTAATGCTTAATGGTAACCAAGAGTTAACATCGCTACTGGCTGAAAGGTCACTTACGGATACATGCCACCCGAGGGAGGGACTCCGTGATATTGCCGGGCTCGTTGCAGTGGTCCAACTTCAGAGCACGCCTGGAATCCCCTGCTATGGCTTGAAGGTGATAATCGTTGACGTCCTTGCCCAAGCCAACAGCAAACGTCACGATGCCATCGGCCCTGGCGGCCTCGGCCGCACTTAGAATCTGCTTGGCGGCCCTGATTGAGGCGATGATTCTAGGTTATTTAGTGACGGAGGAGACTCGATAGGGCTTGTTGATGGCCGTCAAGAGAAATTATTAATTGTAGCCGTAGAGATAATGATTGATTGTGGCCGTATAGATAATGATTGATTGTGGCCGTACAGATAATGATTGATTGTGGCCGTAGGGATAATGATTGATTGTGTCCACAGAGATAATGATTGAATGTGGTAACAGAGATAATGATTGAATGTGGCCATTGAGATAATGATTGGTTGTGTCCACAGAGATAATGATTGATTGTAGCCGTAGAGATAATGATTGATTGTGGCCGTAGAGATAATGATTGATTGTGGCCGTAGAGATAATAGTTGATCGTTGTAACAGAGATAATGATTGATTGTGTTCACAGAGATAATGATTGATTGTAGCCGTAGAGATAATGATTGATTGTAGCCGTAGAGATAATGATTGATTGTGGCCGTAGAGATAATAATTGATTGTGGCCGTAGAGATAATGATTGATCGTGGCCGTAGGGATAATGATTGATTGTGTCCACAGAGATAATGATTGATTGTGGCCACAGAGATAATGATTGATTGTGTCCACAGAGATAATGATTGAATGTGGTAACAGAGATAATGATTGAATGTGGCCATTGAGATAATGATTGGTTGTGTCCACAGAGATAATGATTGATTGTAGCCGTAGAGATAATGATTGATTGTGGCCGTAGAGATAATGATTGATTGTGGCCGTAGAGATATCTGTTGATCGTTGTAACAGAGATAATGATTGATTGTGTCCACAGAGATAATGATTGATTGTAGCCGTAGAGATAATGATTGATTGTAGCCGTAGAGATAATGATTGATTGTGTCCACAGAGATAATGATTGATTGTAGCCGTAGAGATAATGATTGAGTGTAGCCGTAGAGATAATGATTGATTGTGTCCACAGAGATAATGATTGATTGTGGCCGTAGAGATAATAATTGATTGTGGCCACAGAGATAATGATGGATTGTGGCCACAGAGATAATGATTGATTGTGTCCACAGAGATAATGATTGATTGTGGCTTGTGCATCAGAAAGATAATGATTGCTCTGATTTTTGTTGATATGCAGATATTCAGATCTCATCCCATGTACCCTTCTGAGACTTTTAATTTTGCCTTTAAATATTGTCACGGACTATTGTCACGGACTATTGTCACGGACTATTGTCACGGACTATTGTCACGGACTATTGTCACGGACTATTGTCACAGACTTTTGTCACGGACTATTGTCACAGACTTTTGTCAAGGACTATTGTCACGGACTATTGTCACGGACTATTGTCACAGACTTTTGTCACGGACTATTGTCACGGACTATTGTCACAGACTTTTGTCACGGACTATTGTCACGGACTATTGTCACGGACTATTGTCACGGACTATTGTCACGGACTATTGTCACGGACTATTGTCACAGACTTTTGTCACGGACTATTGTCACGGACTATTGTCACGGACTATTGTCACGGACTATTGTCACGGACTATTGTCACGGACTATTGTCAC